CACGTTCAGGTGAATACAGATATATACTGATACGAGGTAATAATTCCTCTCAACTTACAGATACAATTACAATAAATTAATGAAGAACCGTGAGCCCTCCTCCGTCGAGTTCAACCGATTTCCCGGCGGAAATTTGTCAGCGTACAAGAACATTCGTTAGAGAAACTCGCGCACGCGACGACACCGCAACCGCAACCCTAGCCCTAAAGTCGCCCAAGTGAAGACTACGACGTCCGGATATTACTGCAGCAAGACGACGCTATTACGACGAGATTCAACTTCCCCGCAATCCCGGTCGTCGAAACAGCAGCACGACGGGACGGTCGTTCGCGATTCACGACCGGGCCGCATTCACGATCAAGTTTCTGACCCGTTCGCGAACTTGCGGTTACGTTTAGTTCGCCGTATATACGCCAAAATTATACCACGCTTTCTCCTCTTTCTCCCTCTTGTATCGCCCGATGCAGTTTCGCTCGTCCGATTCCTGCAGGAACGCTTGCGGGCACCGGACGATGCGCACCAGCATCATCTATTGTCGATGAACCTAGCCACAGTGCCGTGCCCGGATTTCTGCCCGTTCTCTCAACGCGCATTAACTCTTGTCGAAAAACTTTTTTTTTTCATCGAAATTTTGCCAAGCCGAAACAAAGTTCGATTTAAACCGCGGCAAAAAGAATTAGCTACCATAGCTAAATTTCAGCTGTCCATAATATATATTACAACTTGAAATTGAATTATCATGCCTAAATTTTAGCTACGGTAACTCATATTTTTTAGCCATAGTTTAACGGAGAATGTTATAGCTAAAAAATATTAGCTGTCATAAAATGAAGGCATGATAACTAAATTTCATGTGTAATATATATGGACAGCTAAAATTTAGTTATGGTAGCTAATTTTTTTCCGTGACATGGAAATTCATATTTAAATAATATTCAGAGATTACGACAGTTCTCGTATTTATTTTGAAAAAGAAAAATATAAATAATTAATATATATTTATTGATCAATTCAATATTTACTTATGTGTTTATTTTCTTAAATCACTATTAACATCAAATTTTTTTAAAAAGCCGGAAAATGTTTTTATTATTTCGTAATGCAAAAAGGAAAATTATGATCCAAAAAAATTGGAGATTAGAATTGAGTTTTGATATGAACATTTTTCATTTTCCACAGGCACACAACATCAGCTATGGGTTCTAACAGTTGTAGTCACAACTATGGACATACGTATACTTATTTCCCCACTAAATGTCTATAGTCTACATTACCCTTCCCCATTCGTGACCTCTCCAGGGACAGCACCCGTGTGCTATACCTCCGATAGGTGAATCTGGCACGTTTCCAAACGACGACTACGACGAAAATGAGATTCCTAGTTTAATGCGGCGAGCGAGACGACAAGAGCAAGATAACGCTATCCGAAAATGTCAATCGATGATTCGTGATAAACCAATAATCCCACATATTACGATATATTTGTCCGATCCTAATGGCAGGTCAATAAAAAATGGTACTATTTGCATCTCATTATCACACAGCAATATAATATAATAATTACATACTATTATATATTTAACTATTATATTATATCGCTTATTCGCGTATAATAATATTGTAAAAATTTGCCAGAAATTCGCAAAATTTCAAATTTGGTAGAATCTGCACAAAATGGCTCTCCCTCTCGTTGCCGCGCTGTACCTCACGCGATTCATGCGCGGTTTACAGATAATTTCGAATTGAAATCGACGATATTTCGACCTGCATTTCCGCCGATATTACATCCCGCATTCCGATGCGTCGCGACGAGGCGCACGCGACCCGCTTCGAGATACGCTCTCGTTCAAACGCGAAATTTATTTCTCGATTTCGCTCCAGGTCGCGATGAGAGTCGCGTAAAATTACGAGAAGGATATCTGATACCGGTTCAATATACACAGTATCACAAATCGACCTAACAATTTAACGACCCCTAATCGAGTCTTTCCAGCCTTGTAAAAGGCTTATATAGATTATTATTTTTTTTTTTATTACTATTAATTTATTATTATTTATTAAGCTTTAATAAGCTTTTTCCCTTCCATTACTGCACACAGTAAGAAAATTTGTGTTTTCTTGTCTGTCCCCATTAAAATTTTTGTGTTAAATATATTTAACACATTTATGTGTCAATTTAACATATTACTGTTGTGTTAATTGAACTTAAATGTTAAATTATTAAAACAACTGATAAAAGATGTAAAAATAACACAATGTAAATCGATTTTTAATTTTATATAACAAACATGTTCTGTTTTATTAGTGACAAAATGTATCTGTTATTTACACAAAAAATGTTGACTTTTTCATTTTATAATAAAAGTGCGGATGATAAAATCTAAAATCAACATATCTTTAGTTTTAACTTTTACATTAAAACTATGTTAAATTTACAAAAAATTATTTTAAATTAAAGTTTTGCATTTATTTTGTATTAAAATATTAACACACACAGTATTTGTGTCTCCATTTAACATATCCGTATTATGTTAAATTAACACAAAAATTTCTGTGAACCATTTGGAACATGTAATATCTGTTATACTGTATAGTACAACAAATTATATCTTTCACTATAGTTCTCATGATGAAAAGTTCTACAAGGTCTTTAATAATAAGAGATTGAAAAACTATAGCATGTATAACTTAAAGACCTATTTCTTATACAAAAATATTAGATTAGTAAAATGATCAAAAATTAAAAAATTCTAATAAAAAAAAAAGTTGAAATTATAAAAGTATTGCGAATTACACACTTAAACAAAAGTGTTTATATAGAATAGATATATCTCCTCTAACCGAGTCTATTATACTTCAAATTTACCGTAAGGCTTTCCATCGCAACCATCTGTGACGCCCCACATCCGAAGGTCTAGGCTTAGTTAATTACATGGATAACTAAACACGGTGCTAATAAATCATTAAGATGTTTTTTTTTGTAAGGACTAATCAAGAAAGATTATTTTTGTTCTTCTATGGAGAGACTGATTCGCGTAGCGCGGAACAAACTCAATTATTTATGGCACATTAGCGACGCGAACTAACGAGGGCGTGCTTAATGAATTACTGAAATCGTATTCAGCCGGAAAACCATCCGTGGTTACGCAATGACGTTAAACAAAGCGTTAATCCTCTGATGCATTTTGGGAGTTAAAATAACCCCATGCGTCGCGTATAATTTTCGTGTCGTGCAGTTTTCGGAATTTTGGCTTATTAAAATATAACAAATGTCCTAAAGATCTATACAATGACAGTGAAGCGAATTCTGAACGTAACTCTGAAGTTTTAAAATAATTTTCTTGTTGTTCTTCGATACTGATTTCAGAAGACTCGATACAAAAACGATTAAAAATAAAACTTTATTTTTCGTTGATTAATTACTTTATTTTTTGGAGCGTATAAATAGAATTTTAATATCGAACTAAAAATTAAAATGTTTAAAGTATATGAATTTATATTATATTATCGTTTGCACACACAATAAATTAAAATAAACATAAATTATTACAATTATATGCAAATTGAGAATCCTCCTCAGTTGTCATTTATTACAAAAGAATAAAAAAATTAAACATAATTAATTATAACAAACGTGTTTGCGGTATATGTTCACGCTTTATTTACAATGTTATTAAATTAGGAGTGAAAGGAACCTTTTCTAACTAATTTTCGATTTGAGAGAAATTCAATTATAATTAACCGGCGTCTTTCCGCGTATAATCTGAAAACGGATAGAGTGCATCAAAGGATTAAACAAGGCACCCTCAGGTGCGCGCCGAGGTTTTACCAGGCGAATGCGGCCGCACATGTGCTCGCGAAAACCGCCTGCGGAATAGCGGACGGGGCGGCTGGCTATGCACGCTATCCATCACGAAGCTGAAGTTGAAGGATGCCCGGCTAATTACTTTGTCGCGGACATGCTCGTCGGCGTGTATATAGCCACGCCTAATCTCAAAATGTGCCGACACTCTTTCGCCAGCGATCGCGCCGCGCCGCTAATGACGGATAATACGTCTCGTTTACGCAATGTAATTCCTGTACGCGGAGTGAACGTGTATAATATTGATCTGGTTGGGCTGAAATGACTATCACGGCGCTCTCTCTCTCTCTCTCTCTCTATGCAGCTATACATATATGACGTTGATGCGCGGTGCGCGAGAGCTTTGAGATTATCGGATTGTCGAGATTATCTCGATAATCTCGAATCAAGATCCCCGGCTTGGGCAAGGAATTACGCGCAAACGTAATTAGTCCCTTTGATACACGCATTTTGCGCTTCTCTCTTGCTTGAGCAACACAAATCATTTCTCTTTTATATATAATATAAAGAGACAAACTTATATATGTAATAGAGAGATTTGTCAACAGTATCGTTACAAAGAAAGTGTTTACATTTTAAAAACTTGAAAAAATAATCGGTAACAACAAACAAGATAAACGCAGTGCATAATATTTGTAATATATATTTTGCTGCGTTATTACTTTTATTATCAATAACGCATATTTTTAAATTAAATTAATAACAACGAGCTATGAATTTCATCTATACATTGATCAAATCGTTAAATATAAATTTATTCCAAAAATTACTGTAAAGTTAAAATTACAGTAATAATCATACTTGTAGTAATATAATTTGATTTGTTTGAGATGAAAATGTGAAATAAAAATGGCATGAAAAATTTGATGTAAAATACATAAAAAAATATTAAATTTAATCTAAGCGTATTTTGCTAGCTAACGTTCTCTTTGATTGTATAAATTAAATGTTTTCTATTTATCATGTAAAATATAATTTATTCAATTTTTTCAAATCGTATTTAATTTAATATTAATAATTAATTGAATAGTTAATTTAATAATACAATTAATAATTATGTAGACTTAATGAAAAGTTAAATTTATATTTCCTTCATATTGATTATGTATATGTATAGAAATAACATAATTGCACTTACCTAAAATGGTACCGACGTAAGAATGCGACGTGTCGAAGGATATTGGCCCGTCCGTACTTTCGAAAGATGCGTCCTCGCTGAACAGACTCGCGTCGTGAATTAACCGTATCGTCCAGGATCTGTAAGATGAATTGTAATTATAAAGTGGCGGGACGAGAAAACTTTTTGCGATTCGAATGCGGGCAAGACTAATTGTCGACCTTCCTAGTGTGCCAGAATAATGATAACGGATTCACTTCGGGTCATTACACAAAAAGCCGATAATCTGATAATATGAATAGTGAGAAGGAAATCGCCGTAACAAAGGACCGGGAAACATTAAACGAAGAACTATATTTCACAAGAATTATTCAGATAATTTTGTTTTTAAAAAGAGATATCGAGAATTTAGAGAATAATATCTTTCCAATATCAATGAAATAAAAGATGGAACAGTCTTCGTATAGTAATGAGATTTATATAAAAAAACTTCTATTTTAAATTATATATCGTATAAGAGCTATATATATATTTAACTTAAAGCTCTCGATATCTCATGTATCAATATGAGTATTGCACGCGTAGTAGAAGCAAAAATGTACATACACGTGCGTACAGAATAAATATCTTGTTTCATTACTGAGATGCGATATCGCTCTCTTTGAGCATACTTTGTATGAAATGTCAGATCATTTCATAAATACGTGCACATTTACCATATAGCTATATATATTTCAGTCCCTCGCACAAAAATAAAATATAGAGATATCGTTAGTAGAATAACGATAAATCACTAATAATGAAGAAATATCGTTCCTATATTATAAAATTAAAACATATATTCAAAAATATATATATCACTCTAGTCCAACAATGTTGGAGAAATATATTTAACACAAATCTCTCCAACATGTAAAATGAAATTTTCAAAATAATTCTTACAAATTATGTGAAATATATATTCTAATCATGTTAGTCACGCTTTCTATTACAGACTCGCGGACTGATCTGACGGTGCAGGATGTCCTCCGTAACTTCGAGAGATACGACATTTGAAGCCTTCGAACCTCTAAATATCGCTTAAGCTCAAGATGAAACCATGTAACATCATATGGATCGAATGGCTTCTCCCACAGATTCAACTAAATATGGTATATACGCGCTCTTTCACTCGTGCATATCACATTTACGTAACAAATTTGTCTTTAACGAGATCATATCTATTAAGATTGACATTTGCGCTATGGATTCCTATAAAGAAAAATATAACGTAAAACGGATTAATAGCATAGATATAGAATCCGAATATTCGATTGTGACAAAATATTATACGTATAATATTTATATTTATTTACTTATATTTTATTTGTATAAAAAAATTGTATAATGTTTGAATAATTCTAGCAAGTTTTTTTACGCGCTCTACCTTCGTCATATTAAATTAAAAAGCGTGTTTTTTATTGATGCAAATACTACAGCAAATAAATTATGAAAAGCGAAAATTTGCAGGAAAAAGTAAAATATTAAAATATTATAAACTGATACGTGTGTGTATATATATATATGGATAAATTATTGACGTTTTTCATAAAAAACACTTTTAATCATTGACGTATAGGTACTATCAAGATGTACGATTATAAAAATAACGTATTTTCGCAGAAAAATATAATAAATATAATAAAAATATAATAATTGTTGCACGAAAATCAAATAATGCATCTTTTTACCGTGAAAAAAATATTAAATATTTGTGTATAAAATAAATCCCGAGTGAAACATGATAATATTTGTTTCTCGAGAAAGACGTACAAATGCTGCTTGTGCATCCATTTTATCCATACAAAAATAAATTCGATCATGTTAATATATTCTGTACAAAATGCAACAACAGATAAATTATAAAGGAGATATTTTTGAAAGGGACAATATAAAAACATGTAATATTAGAATGTGGTAAATTAAAACGTGTGTCCGAGAAACTCATTAACGCTTTCACAAATACATGTCGCGTATACTAGTTATTATTTTATTTATAACCGAAATGCATCCGTCCATTTAAATATGTAACATAATTGCGTTTTGTAACTATACTTTATATATATTTGTAAATTAAATATATCATAACATATTTAATCAAGAGCGAGCCAAGGTTATTAAATAGAAAACATGTGTGATGACAAAATAACATTTGTATATTATTATTACAACGAAATATACAAACGCTAACATAAACTGGAGTTTTATAATTCGAAAAAATATGTTACTTCGAAATTTACAAACTGCGTTTAAAAAATGTTTTTATTTAAGTCCAATTTTAAAATATTTAAATCTGTCTCAATCTTTAATTATATGCGCTTATCACATATGTTTCTATTTAAACAATCCTTACTCGACTGGATGAATCCTTTTGAAGCACATTGTACCGACATCATACAACAGGTGACTGGATAAGCGATGACAATTGAAAAGGACGACGAAAAACTGATAATCACTTTAAAATAACGGTAAAATAACGACATGATTCTCGTATTAAATAAAATCTATTTTAGAACTTATGTGACTTTCACAATGATGATGCGCAAACACGTACCACGTTTCCGGATATCTCGTTAAAGTCTGATTCCACGATGACGTTGAATTTACATAGAAGGTCAAGCGAAACCAACTGAACGCGAGTCACGTTAAATGCCACTACATGACGTACGCTGCTAATTTATATAGAGAATCTCAATATTGGAGATGTACTCTAACATACTTTTGCTATGTTTAATCTCCTTTTTTTATCAAAAATATTTATTCATAATCTTGTCTCTATGCTCGTTCATTGATTTGACTGACTCTTATTTTGTCAATATCTAAAAACTCTATTATTTATAATATATTTTATTTCTTATCGACTCTAAATGTTTATATTTGCTTTTTTTCAAAAGAATTCAGTTTTATTTCCAAAACAAAAAAGGTGAATAAAATATTTCGGCGTTTCACGCAAAAAAAACCAATTAAAGGAAGTATTTCGATTATTTTGTACAATTCTTCCTTTGTGCGACGACATCTTAAACAAATTTTTTTATAAAAAAACTTACAAATTATGGGAATTAAGGGAAGTGTAACAATTAATAGTCGCGGCTCTTTATGACACGCTCGCCCATGCTGCTTCCGCGACAATCATTTTCATAATCCAACCATCCCTCTATGCGCCGCGGTGCATTGAATCGTACGCTTTGTTCCTGAAGGAGGCTCGTTATGTCGTATCTTCGCCTCATCGCGTCGGGCGCCTTGCGAAAAAGTCGCTTAGTGCCGCTTTAATGTCCGGGAGCTTGTAAAGGCGAACTTTCGCGCTGCACTTGCCAATCTCCTTATCACTAATCTCTTTAAGATTGTACGTACAAGATGCTCTCTCCAATTAAAACGAGGGACATTCAATCTATTTCTAACATCGTTCATTTCTGAGGCAATTGAAAAAACGCACGTAAGAAATATGCAAATACTTATTCAAATATAATAAAATGAAGACAGAAGAATTATTTACTAAATATCAATGCACTAAAGAATACAATTGCTTGTTTAGTTTAGTTAGAAATAAATTTTTTCACTATGCCATCCCTTGCTAATCTCTAATACGTGATCAATGCTCTCCAATTAACACCGAGAACATTCATCTATTTCTATCATCATTATTTCTGAGACAATTGAAAAAAATGCACGTAACAATATGCAAATATTATAAAAATTATTCAAATGATAAAATAAAGATGCTATGAAGGACTATTTACTAAATATTAATGCACTAAAGAATACAACAATTGCTTGTTTAGTTTCGTTAGAAACTAATTTTCTTTGAGCCGAATTACCTGACTATATATGTATTCAGCATTCAAATGAAAAAAGTTGCTGATATATAGAGGGAAAGGAGAGAGATCACGCCACATCAAGAGATTAAATTTTCCTTTAGAAAACTCGGTACCAAATTCCTTTGGCAAAAGTAGAACTTTTGCTCCTGGTATACTTTCTTTCTCAAGCTAACTCTTTAGTCG